TCTCTCTCTCTCTCTCTCTCTCTCCCTCTCCCCCCTCTCTCCCTTTCTCTTTCTGTCTGTCTCTCACTCACTCTCTCTCTCTGTCTCTTTCTCTCTCTCTCTCTCTCTCTCTCTCCCTCTCTCTCTCTCTCTCTCTTTATTTTACGCCCTGTCAGAGAAAATAACATCAACACTTCAGTTTATTAAACATGACATAGCATTCCCAGACCTGTTTGACAACATTCGTAGGAGCGCGCGCGGAGAGTTTTTAGAATGCGACATACAAGACTGACCGATCAGACATAGTTCTGGTGACTAAACTGAAAAAAAGAAGAGGTAGTCTAACTGACAATTTGGCTATAGGCCTACGATCAGGAATGGAGCAATCACAACTGCCTGGATGTGTCAAAGATAGAGAAGGTTGCCACAGACAGCAAACGTGGCGCGACTGATCCCCGCCTTGTGTACCTGGGGTTATAGGGAGACAGTAAATAAATTCGTTTACATGTAGGTTAGGCAGCTTCCCTATGACTAGAGAGGGCTGTACAAAAAAAGAAAACCCCCAGAAAACCTACGACTTATACTATAGAATATTGTAATTTATGAATGATCCTTATTGCTGTCCGTGTCATGGGCGTGTTTTGCAACGTCACATTACGCTTATGCTACCCAAGTATACACAGGCAAGGCAGCAAACGGAGTGCATTACTTTCCGCATGACAACGGAAACTATACAACACTAATATATGATTATGGACTTGCTTGAGCTCATAAATAGCTCGCTAAATTGCCTTTTATTGTGTCTCGCTAATGCTGGGGATAACGTAGTTTATGTAATGTTCTGTGTGTGATGTCATTTATTTACTTATCATTTTTTACACTGGCATCGGCTGGCTGAGGCGGAGTTTCTTTCATATTAGCACCCTCAACTCTTTGCTACAAAGATCAACTGACTTTTGAAAAAGAAAGATTTAAGTGCAAAGTTTGGTAAAAGAAAATTTCTGTTCGCTATTGTTAAAAGAAATTAAAAGCGTCTTTAGCCCTAGGCTTTACAACGACCCAAATGTGGTCCCATGGAGACTGAGGACCCAGTAAGTGTGTACAAGCTCATATAAAATTTCCAATTGAGGGCTTAAGTTTGCTTTTAGCCAGAATGTATACTTTCTATTTGTTTTGTTTTAGTAAAGAGAAGCACATCGACACAAGTATGGTTATTTTGTGCTGGGAATAAATAAGACAGACAGACAAGTACAACTGAAGGACAGTTAAGAACTGGAATCTCCAGGCACCCGCATACACTTTGTGTGTGATATTAATGATGAACTTTGATGAATGTTAGTATGTTTTCAGTGTTAAGCTGAAACGGTGAATTTAGTACTCAGCTTATAATGTGTGCATAATGGGAATAATAAAATATGTTTGAAAAAGGAAATTTGTAATTTGGGTGGAAAGGGGGGGGGGGGGGTATTACACATATTATGTCCTCATTATCACTTGCATTATTTTTGTGCTTAGTTGAATAATGATTATATTTTAATGTGTTGAAATGTTAATAACCTGTGTGGTGACAGGTCTCTAATCATATTCTAAATGAAAACTATACGACTGTATGATGGATCCTGAAGGGAAAATTTGAGGTTTGATGAAGCTTTGAATATGTACCGTCTGGAATGATCCTAGCAAATAGGTAAAACATGTCATTTTGTTGTTTGATTAACATAATTTATATGCAAGTTACATGAAATATATTGGATACAGAAATACGGGAACACGATATCATTACGTTTTTTTCTGTTATTCTTAAATCCTCGTAAGCAAATTTTTTAAAACATTCGACACTTTTTTTCACTTTGGAATCATTTGTCATGTATCATACAGAATGAATCAATGTATTATTCTTTGTGCCTGTAGTTGTAAGTTGCTGGCGATGTTAGGCTAAGAGGAAAACGATGACACCAAAACGTTTGATGGTTAATTGTTTGAAACTCTTTTATTGTATTTGATATGTAAGCGTTTTTTATGCCCCCATCACAAACAAGCTGTATCATTTAAGAGGCGGGCTTAAACCTGTCCTGTCCAAGCTAATCCGGAGTTAGAGGGATTCAGCATCCGAAATGAATACGGAGATATTACATAAAAAGTCTTCCCACAG